TTTTTGTCTTAATGGACATATATCCGCATGTTATACATTTATTCAATTGTCATTTTTCTCATAATTTTTCTTTTGTCTTTTTTGACCCTCCTCGACGCATGACAAAGACAAAATATATGAGATAATGCTGAATCAATTTCTTAGATGACGTAAAGTATTTTGGGTGACTTGTGTTAAAAATCATCAGACAATTGCAAGTTGCACTCTGTTTTAAGATGAGAGTAAATTGAAATTGTGGCTATTATCCCGATTAAACAAACCTCAACAAATCATGCAGCTTATTTTCAAAACTCTATTGACAAATGGCAGTATATTGTCAAAAATAAATGTAGAATTCATAAAAACACCCTATTTTCGGTTTTGCAGCGGCACGGGCTACCGCTCTTCATTTGAATTTTCATATCACAGGTACCCTCTCATTTTTTAACACGACATATGCTTTTATTTGCAATATGCTTGTTTTTTAATCGTTAAGTATGTAATATTTCTTACTTTTATGTAAATATTACATACTTAACCATTAACGCAAATAAAAGCTTATGTCGTGCTTTGAGGGTACCTATGTGTTAAAAAATGAGAGGGTGCCTGTGATATAAAAATTCAAATGAAGAGAGGTAGCCCGTGCCGCTGCAAAACCGAAAGTAGGGTGTTTTTATGAATGTTACATTTATTTTTAACAATATACTGCCATTTGTCCGAAGATGATATGTAAATGAACATATTAGATATGTATGATGCATATATAATCAAGTCACAGGTTCATTGCAGCCCGAAAAGTATGTCGAGGTGATGGACGAGGCAAGACATGTCGATTTTTTGTAGCTTATTGTGAAGTTGCAGTACATGAAAAACGGACACATGACAAATCAGCACATAAATAAAACATTCTAGTGTTCCGTGGTATACATGTTTTCTAAGTGTCGTACCTCTTTTCCTTATTACAATGAAATTTTACTGGATTGTTATCCATCGCTGTTTGTTTTAAGCAGAGAATGACCTGTGCATGTGCAAATAGGGTACCGTTACAGCAGATTTCACAAAGAGGGTACCGATATGGATATGCACCGTGTGTATATTTTGTATATATGTGATTGATCTATTTTTCAGAGCAATAAGTTCGATTAATTCTAAACAAAGGCAATTGTATAATTGCTACGTAAAATAGAAAAATATGATTCCCATTCGTTTCCAATTAGATAAGTGATTTATTGTTACAGTAGCTTGATTATTACAAATCAGCACACTCCTTTCGCATATACTTTTGAGATCGTTGAAGTTATAGTTTGTCCCTCAAGCTGTGTATAATGGATTCGAGCATTGCTTTGGACATGGTCGTGTTTCTCCGTATAATGCACTAAATATAACAAATGTATAAAACGTGTGTCTTTGACAAAATGATGTAATAGATACTCCGAGGCCTCCATTAGAAATTATTTTAGATTTCCATAATTTATCTCAAGACAGAGTCATCTTATTGTATTTGTAATAATTATCGACCACGTAATCTTGCCTATGATATAAAGTCATAAACAAACCGTTAAAAGGACTTGTCTTATTTACATATTTACATGTATGGTGATTTTTGTCTTAATGGACATATATCCGCATGTTATACATTTATTCAATTGTCATTTTTCTCATAATTTTTCTTTTGTCTTTTTTACCCTCCTCGACGCATGACAAAGACAAAATATATGAGATAATGCTGAATCAATTTCTTAGATGACGTAAAGTATTTTGGGTGACTTGTGTTAAAAATCATCAAACAATTGCAAGTTGCACTTTGTTTTAAGATGAGAGTAAATTGAAATTGTGGCTATTATCCCGATTGAACAAACCTCAACAAATCATGCAGCTTATTTTTAAAATTCTATTGACAAATGGCAGTATATTGTCAAAAATAAATGTAGAATTCATAAAAACACCCTATTTTCGGTTTTGCAGCGGCACGGGCTACCGCTCTTCATTTGAATTTTCATATCACAGGTACCCTCTCATTTTTTAACACGACATATGCACGACATATAATTTTATTTGCAATATGCTTGTATTTTAATCGTTAACTGTTAAGTATGTAATATTTCTTACTTTTATGTAATAATTACATACTTAGCCATTGATGCAAATAAAAGCTTATGTTGTGCTTTGAGGGTACCTATGTGTTTAAAAATGAGAGGGTGCCAGTGATATAAAAATTCAAATAAAGAGAGGTAGCCTGTGCCGCTGCAAAACCGAAAGTAGGGTGTTTTTATGAATGTTACATTTATTTTTAACAATATACTGCCATTTGTCCGAAGATGATATGTAAATGAACATATTAGATATGTATGATGCATATATAATCAAGTCACAGGTTCATTGCAGCCCGAAAAGTATGTCGAGGTGATGGACGAGGCAAGACATGTCGATTTTTTGTAGCTTATTGTGAAGTTGCAGTACATGAAAAACGGACACATGACAAATCAGCACATAAATAAAACATTCTAGTGTTCCGTGGTATACATGTTTTCTAAGTGTCGTACCTCTTTTCCTTATTACAATGAAATTTTACTGGATTGTTATCCATCGCTGTTTGTTTTAAGCAGAGAATGACCTGTGCATGTGCAAATAGGGTACCGTTACAGCAGATTTCACAAAGAGGGTACCGATATGGATATGCACCGTGTGTATATTTTGTGTATATGTGATTGATCTATTTTTCAGAGCAGTAAGGTCGATTAATTCTATACAAAAGCGATTGTATAATTGCTACGTAAAATAGAAAACTATGCTTTCCATTCGTTTCCAATTTGATATATGATTTATTGTAGCTTGAATATTACAAATCAGCACACTCCTTTCGCATATACTTTTGAGATCGTTGAAGTTATGGTTTGTCCCTCAAGCTGTGCATAATGGATTCGAGCATTGCTTTGGACATGGTCGTGTTTCTCCGTATGATCTTGGTGGATTTCAGGAAGCGGGCACGGGAGTGGTTCAAAATCGATTCTTTGTTAAAAAAATCTTTTAAATCAAGCACATGTCATGAAATTCGAACTCTATGTTTTGAAAAAATCTCGATGACGATTGAAACGATAAATGATAAATGGCATGTGTCAAAGCTATTTCTAGAAGTGTTGATATGATCGTTTTGTTCAGTGGCAATTAAGGACACAACTTTGATACAGACTGACATGTTTAAACCATCATACGAAGGGCAATTATTGTTTCACAACAATTTAAATATATAAACTGAAACTATATGACACGCTTTATGGACCTCTTAATGTGGCATCATACATGTCCTAGTATAAAAGATCAATGAACCAGTCAAAATAAAAACAAAAAAATGACATTTTGCAATAAAATTCTGTAAAATTTTATGTTTTATTATTAGAAATTAATCAACAATTAACGTAATCAACGGAATATTCTATAAATATCGTTTACAATGTATCGGTGATGCTAAATTTCAAAAAATATTTTGGCATTCTGTTTATGTTTATATTGTGTCATACACACTTTTCATTATCAATAATTGGTCAATCACCATTTCAATAGCCATCCTTTTGAAATATTTTACTACTACAACTCAATTTTACAGCGAAAAAATAACATTACGTTTTTCTTATAAGCAGCGATAAGTAAAGGAATTTTGTCATTGTGTAAAAGAAGAAATTGAGTGATGTAAAAGCAGCCTTTAAAGGGTATGCCAATATGCAAACTAGAATAAATACGAAATATCGAAAAAGAAAATTTAATCCTTTTTGCATAATATATACACAGCGTTAACAGAACTGCGAACATATAAATATGTTTCACCATTCTTATTATAAGCTTGTATTTGAAGTAATTCATAGAAAATGTGTTTTCTCATCAGGTGACATACAACTTTATTGCAACGTTGAGAGACAACTGTATCTACCCCTCCTTCTTAATATTTGTACTTTCTTTCACATATGAGGTCGTATCTGTGAATGTTTATATCTCTTGCAACAGACGATAACCATACTTAACAAAAACAACCAGCTACAGTTTCCATGTCTTTGAATTGCCCTGTTTCCAAAGCATAAATTGACCGCCTTCAAATGGTTACAGGTATAAGTTACAGAGAATCACATTGATGATTAACAGGTTAGGTCCAAGAATGTTATATCTGTGTTTCCTTTTGTGAAATGCTTAATAGAATTTAGTCCATAATCATTTGATCAGTTTTTTGTTTGTGTGTTAAATACAGTTCACATGGTATATTTATTATTTTTTTACTAAAATTACCTGTTAAATACGCAGTACGCTTTTGACAACATTTAGAAACATTTGCTTATTGCGTTCACTGTTATTATCGTCGACGTATACGATACAATGCATTGGGACATAATAGCGTAGCATGAACCATTCAATTCATCTGTTCATTCAATTTACCTGTATATTCAATTTCTCTGTACATTCAATTTACCTGCACATTCCCTTTATCTGTACATTCAATTTACCTGCACATTCAATTTATCTGTATATTTAATTGACATGTACATTCAATTTACCTGTATATTCAATTTATCTGTACATTCAATTTACCTGTACATTCCCTTTATCTGCATATTCAATTTATCTGTACATTCAATTTACCTGTACATTCCCTTTATCTGCATATTCAATTTATCTGTACATTCAATTTATCTGTATATTTTATTTACCTGTACATTCAATTTACCTGAACATTCAATTTACCTATACATTCAATTTACCTGTACATTCAATTAATATGTACATGCAATTTACCTGTATGTTCAATTTATTTGTACATTCAATTTACCTGCACATTCAATTTATCTGTACATTAAATGTATTTTTACATTTGTAAATTTGATGGCTTCTTTCACTGTTCTCGAAAAATCACTTTAATTCTGACTTTCTACACTCAAATTTGTTGTCTATGTATGCATTCGTAATTATTGGGCATCATTGACGTATTTGAGTTTCTTCAACAATTTTATGTCATTTTATTTCATTTATTTTTTCAGAGCCCTGAGTATATTTGCGACAGCCTTGGAGAACATGATTGCAGCAGATGGAAGGAGTGTTGTAAAGCAGCTGAACAATGTTGCCAACACCAACTCAAAACAGCCGTTTCCTCTCCGGAAAGTATGTAAACAGTTTGTTTCCTTTCTGATAAGCAAGATAAATATTTATAATTGACACTTGACTTTGAAAAAGTAATACAAGCTATTCAACAACATGAATATAATATATTAAGTATGATACTTAATTTTAATGTGAAAACAATGATTTAAATACAGAGTAACTTTTGAAAGCTTCGAGAAATCACAAAACTCTTTTTCAAATGGTTATGATAATTTTAACTTCATTAAGATTTACATAAAAAATTACATCAGCTTTTTCCGGTGCCATTCGTGACTTTTCGCCGTAGAAACATGGTTGCATTGTAACCGGTGTATTTATTTGCCAAATCTGTTTATCATTTCAACGAATTTTGGAAGAAAGAAAAAAATATTGGGGCAAGCATTACCAACCCAAAGGTTGAATTCCAACACTGATTGGTCAGTGCGATAGGCCAAATGTACATAAGGCTCATAAGAATCGCAATGTGCGATTATTTAAATTATCTAAATTGAATACTGATAGTTTGAAATCAAAAGCATACCATCGACATTTTAGTCATTTATTGAGAAATGAACTATAATTATTTTACTTCGTTCTCTATTAATCAGATTATGCATAATTATGACTCATTTTTTGTCTTTTTTGATAATTACTGTTTGTGTCATGTCAAGTATGGAAGAATCGACGTTTTATATCAGAAAAAAATCAGTTTTCGGTATGTGTCATTAACGTCCGCTTTAATGATGACCAGACTATTTTCGATTTGACTAAAGGTGACCGGAAATTTGGTCATTTAATCGATTATAAGTCCTGGTATACATTAAAAATCTATTTCGGTACAAGCGTTCATCCTACCATATGATAAAAACAACATTTTGGAGTTATTCTTAGGCTAGTTTTAGATTTTTTTGATAAACTTGCATGTACCTGCATAAACCCGGAATGAGCTAAAACTATTTAAAAATATAACGAAACTTTGTGTTTGCTAGACAGCAATGTTCATATCAAGTTGATTTATTACATAATTGTGCCAAATGGTATAGATGAAGTTCGTTCTTTTTATCTTACGTTACCAGGAATATGAGATAATCTAATTACCAATTTAATGTTTCATCACTCACTGCATAGTTTAATCGAGATAAGTTTGTAAAATCTGATAATATGTTCGACAAGTAAACTGCACATTCAGTTTCTTTGTAGCTCTGCACAATGTTATAGGTTTCTTTGGGTAATTATGGTCTCATTAACGAATATATCTTATTATCGAAAAGGATCATGCGGCAAGTTTGTATTGACTATTTCAATTGGACAATCGATATTTTTATTTTTATTTGACCTAAGTAACGACGATTTTCATTGGACAATCGAGACTTTTTAAATTTGACATAAGTAACGTTAATTTTCATTGAACAATCGAGATTTTATTTTATTTGATGTAAATAACAACAATTTTCATTAGACAATCGAGGATTTTTTTATTATAATAAATATACACGGGCCTTTACATATTTGACATTTGTCAAGACAATTTGAATAATCAAGATTTTACAAAAAAATGCAAATAGACGGGTTCTTCAATCTTTGAACGTTTGTAACTGAAATTTTTATAGGAAAATAAATATTTTTTAAGATATAGTTACATACACAGGTACCAATTATCTTCAATGTTTGTAACGAAAGTTTCATTGGACTAACTAGGTTTTTTTTAGTTTTATATTCACGGCTGCTGTATGTTTTGTTATTTTAATTAAATCAAAGTGAAGCAGTTAATTAAATGTTTTTGACAGTTGAGAGTACATGCATAAATAGTTTTTTGTTATATAACTATAATAATATAACCGTAAAACCGCGCAATATAACCTGTTAAGCTTATTTTATAACTAATGATATAAAATCCCGTATATATCTTTTTATTAATTTCTACATTGAAATTAAACAGTAGTGTGCATTTTGTTTCATTTGTTTCGATAGAGTTCATAAGTTATAGTTTTTTTCGTTATCATAATCCTATAATATAGTTAAACAACAACGGTGGTTTGGAAAATAAGAATAGAATAGACTTTTGTTATAAAATGTGCTTTATCTTCACAATATCACTTTCAAGCAGTAGATACAAAAGTGAGTTATATTTTTCTTCAAGAAAATTATAAATGAAAAATGTATATAGATTGCAAAAACACGCTCTTAATAATAATATACAATATTTTTGAAATAATATACAATGATACAATATCTTACTATAATTATAACAATGGTTAATGTTTCTTTTTTATTTGTTTAAACCGAATATTAACAGGATCATTTTATTTAAATGTGCATTAAAAGGGGAAAAACTATTGAGTTAAATTATTTTAAAGATATACAGTGCTAAGCAAAATAAAGCAGCTTTATGAAACATTATGCCTCAGAAATGAATAAACAATGAAAATAAGAAGTTAGTATAAAAATAATTTTCCTTCTGTAGAATGGCAGATATGTGTTTTATAAAGTTACAATAATAGACTTATTAATAGCACTATTAAACTGTAAAATTATCTGCAAAAAGGTAGCAACATGTAAACTAAATAGTATTACGACTTAATACTCTTTCACTTAAACTGTACTTATTTCCAAAATGCAAAAGACACAAAAATAGGTAGATAGGTCAGGTATATGGACGGTGAGAACATCCATTTGTTTGGAAAATATAGCATGACACCAAAAATAAAAGCTTCTGTAATGTAATGGGTCATAACAAGGTGGATTTGACTTTTTGTAAATCCTTGTGACATGACGACGAATATATTGTAAACATTGCTTACATCATTGTATTGTATAATATTATACAGAAAAATCATGAAAACGGCAAAGCTATCGTTGTTATTATCTTCTTTAAATGAATATTTTAGCGGATATAACATACATAATTTAATGGCTATTTTAATGGAAACATGCTTCGTAAACAATTTTAAAAGCATATTATACCTCAGAAATCCATATTTGTTAAAATTCTTTACAGTTGTCGAAACAATGTGTTTAATAATTTTTTAATAATGGATCAAGAGTATGTTAGATGATTGACAACTCACGAAAGTAACGAAAGTAACGCTGAATGTGCAAAAAAGTGTCGTAAAGGTAGCAAAATGTAAACAAAGTAGCATTTTGACTTCCATACAAATTACTTATTCACTATAATTGTATCCACAGTCAACAGCGAGATAGATAAATTAAATGTAAATGGAAAATAAGTATATTTTGGAACCTTAGTAAGAAACAACAAAATATACGTTTTTGATAAATAAAAATGAAAGCATGCCTCAGCCACAATGGGCTTAAAATATAAAAATCAATTTAATATATAGCAATTGATGTGATATAAAAATCGTAGTTTACAAATAGTGAATGATATGTCGATTTGATTATAAAAAAATGATATGGTTTTATAGTTGTCGTTTTATATTTTTTAGAATCAATTTTAAGATTTAAAGTTTTTAATCTAAGTATTCGCATGATTGAAAGAGAAGAAACTGAGTTAATAAAACCAGTATTAACGTTTATATAATCATGGATATAAAACTTTGTATCATAGTTTGGAGATTTTTCTACAGAAAACTTATCAGAGTTAAATCGTATACACATACATGCACAGTGCTTTAACTGGAGTACAGGTATAAAGTCACACAGCCATTCAATGTCTAGAGCATGCTCTTTGATTGGCTCATTTGTTTCTGGGGTTTAACATTGCGACGACAGGAAATGTGTTTTTTTATATTTTGCCAAAAGATGAAGAATACCAAAACACTCGTAAGTCTGATTCATACTCGGGAACTACGCCCCCCCCCCCCCCTTCGTACAAATCTGATAGTCTCGTGTTTCGATGCTCTTTCTTTTACTTATCATCGTATGTTTGAAATGTTTTGTTTTATAATTATATTGCATTTGTTTTAAGGTAACCTTTGCCCTCGTACATGGGACGGTCTACGTTGCTTTGATGATACTGCTGCAGGAGACACTGTTATGCTTTCTTGCCCGCACTACATAAAATATGGAAATATGCAAGGTTTGTTGACTGTTTCCTCGATGCATCATAGTCACGCAATACAAAAATATATGCGTTATCCCGTGTCAAAATATGATACCAAAGTGGTTTCAGCGCCCTTTTGCCTTCCTGTTAATAGAATATATAGCACGTATTATTTTGTATCTGATTGTCTAAAGAGGTTTGAAATCAAATGAGCAAAGTAAAAAACAAATTTCACGCTAAAAGGTTATTTCTGTTTGACAAATAGGAAAATGTTTTTGCTTGCCATTTTATAACCTTGATTTTAAAGGAATTGTCGCTATAAACAAAGACCGAAGCATGTATTTATTTCCAACAATGTCAATAAAATATCTGTAAAAGAGATTTAAATTCAGCATTAAAGTTAGTTAATAAATCATTCAGAACCTTTTATATGCAATATTCAAATGTACTTTAAGATTGAGGAAACGACTAGCGATAACATGCTTTTAACTTTAAATCTAAAATACTTAAATGTTAGTCATCAGATCCTTTATGACAATATGATGTTTTTGTTATGAAAGTGTTTCATTTAAAACTGATAATGTTCTCGCATATAGTACCGCAATTCTTGAAATCAAACACATGTCAACTCTGTCTTGTTTTACTATTTTCCATTAAAATATGTTTCACGATGAATATAACTGAAGCAACATTACTATCGTTTAGTCGTCATAAAAGTTGTCTATCTACTCTTTTACAAATTTTGCATATAAAAATACATTAAGATGACTTTCGTCAATAGGTAATGTTGAAAAATACTGTACAGAGAACGGGACCTGGGCATTACATCCAGTTACTGGTAAAGAATGGACCAATTACTCGGGTTGTGTGGATATACAGGTTGGTAATATATAATTGTGAACTGCTGATGGTTAATAAGAAACCGATGAAATGATTGACAATCCATTTACGGCGGTTTTCCCCTGCTAAATATGTCAAAAGTTTGTTGCCATAATCTTGTTCATGTTATACTTATGGCCTAATAAAACCCGTTTATAAATCTGATAATATGGTTATTTCGTATTTCTCCATACAAGTGGGTTGTTGTCGCAATTAATATAAATATATATTAATGTTTCATTATATAATGTATATGCTGTTATTGATCTAGTCATATATCGTGTGTCATAGTCTTTTTCCTAGTAGTTGGGGCGGTTTTTCCATGCCAGATTTGTCAATTTTTGTATGGCCATAATCTTGTTCATGTTATACTTTTGGTTTAATAAAGACCAGATATGTCAAAAAATGTCATGCACTTGTTCATGTTTAACTTATGGCTTAATAAAGCTCATGGAAAATTGATTTCGATATAATATAATATATGCATCACATATTCTAGCTATTAAAATAACAATAATTGCAAAAATAGCAAAGGCAAAACTTAATTACAGCCTGCATGGTGAAAAGGCTGTGTTTACATTTATGTGATTCATTACGTAAACAAAATATTTATTTTTTTTGTTTTTATATTTTTTTAACAAGATATATAAAACATATATATTGCAATAATTCTATCAGTAGATATGATTACTTAAAATATGCATCAACTAAATATTGGCTACGTGGGCACGTAAAAGCAAAGCATGCTGTTTCGTTACATCCAACTTATCTTGTTTCGAGGTCTGCATTCTGCTATTTCACATTTTTACTTAGCTTGTTTTGAAGTTTAACAAGTGTTTCACCTCAGAGGAAATTTATATATTTCATGTATTTCAGAGTATGAGCGGCGGTGCTTATGCAGAGGTGTCAGCAAACACTTTCAGTCTTCTTCTGTTAGTTCCAGCTGTTGCAATATTTCTTGCGTTCAGGTGAAACGTTTATAAAATCTCTTTTGCAATATATATAAGTATATCATCTACTATAGTTTTGCTTAATATCATTATAAATATTATTGTATGATGTTTATGACATTTCCATTCATTATTTTTTTTAATAAAACATTGAAAGAGAATCAGGAATAAATCAAAGTGATATTGAATATGACCGCTGCTTTTACTTCAACAATTACGTCTTGGTTGACATTTTATTAAGAAAAAAAGAAACAAACAATACAAAAACAGAAAAATCTAAAGAAAAAGAATATGAATATATTTATCAAGCAAACAAAAACATTGAATCATTACAACTTTCTAGACAATTAATTATGTCTATTTACACCTACGTAAATTTCAACGTAAACTAATTAGGAATAAAATGTAACAAATGTGGCTGAACGCATTCTTTATGAGAAGATATTCCTGAACAAATAATTATATTAAACATTACCTTAACCAGTACAATTATAACTGCAAATAAGTATATTAAAAATTACCTTAACCAGTACAATCATAACTGCAAATATGTACATTAAACATTACCTTAACCAGTACAATCATAACTGCAAATATGTACATTAAACATTACCTTAACCAGTACAATCATAACTGCAAATATGTACATTAAACATTACCTTAACCAGTACAATCATAACTGCAAATACGTATATTAAACATGACCTTAACCAGTACAATCATAACTGCAATACAAACTTGAGCACCGGGAATTAGCAAATATATGTTACTGGGCGAAATGATAAACAAAAAGATACAGGCGCAATAAACTCTCGATGGTACTGATACGGTTAGATATTAGATTGCAAACGGGAATTTTAGAAAACCCGTATCTTAAAATAGCAAGATACGAGTCTTAATGTTAACTGAAATAGAACATCATTTTTATTGTTAATAATGATAAAGACAATTAAAACACAGGTCATATATCAAAACACGCAATACATGCAAAGACAGTATCAACACAAAAAGGCGGGAAAAGCTGTTGTTTCATTTTTATGCCTTTGTAAGTGTATCATTGCTTAAAATACACAGATCTTTGTTTTTGATTGGACATTTTTCTAACTTAATTTCAGCACAAAATTAAAAATCTCCGAAAAGTCAAAACACCATATATTTGTGTAATAATTGAATAGCTTGGTCTCAACATATTTAAAGTTTCCCGCATTCAAATATTCCTGATAGCAATTTAACTTTATTTCGAAAATGAAATATACAGGGACATATGCTGTTAAATACACATCCTACATATACATTTAATAAATGCAATATCTCAAATACAACGGCAAATCTATGTCCCTGATACCAAACTGCTTTACGGGTATATACTTCTCAAAATTTAATAGGGATCACTTATTGTATATATTTTATTGGTATAATATAACAGTTAATTAGTTAAAAAGTGATATTTTGATTATTTTGATATTAAAGTGTATTAGTTCGTTGTATTAATGTGCTGATAAATCACTGAAACGTGGCAACGGTATAATCGGGATAAGGGTAGATTTTAAGATTTTTGTGTATATGTGATACAAGTGGAATGAATTTGAAAATAAACCAAAAGTGTAAAGATGTTGTCAATATCGAGTGTTATACCCATTTGTGTTGATAAAAACCTGACACCGACTCCTCAGGCTACTGATAAACCCGCGTATGACGTCTTGTGGGATTCGAACCTATTTTAAGGGGGGCCTTGCTAAGCTCCTGGATAGCGGTTGGAAATTAGGCTAAATATTTAGGGTCTTTAAACAGATACTAGCATCAGATTGACTCATTTTATGTGCAAAAATAATAAGATTTCAGAGTGAAATCAGTTAATTTCTGTTATAATCATCCAAGATTTAATACGTTTTAATATCAAACAGTTAATTACTCTTATATATATTTAAGAATCAATACTTTTTTATATCAGGCAACTGCGAGGTCAGCAGCGTATACAATTACATGTATGTCTATTCCTCTCCTTCATCTTGACGTCAATCCTTAATTTGATATGGGAGGTCGTGGTGCACAGAGATCGGATACAGAACCGATCAGAAGAGTCGTTTATGTTTAGACAACAGGTTAGTGTTATAGTAAAAAATGTCCCTAAATTTGTTAACTTATTACCGCCATGATGATTTGAATTAAAGAAAAATGTAGCTAAGAATTCTTTACATGGCGAGTGGATTTAATTATAAGACATATCCTTTGTAAAATTTTTAATGATGAATGACTGCAATACGTTCAATGATTCTTTGCAACTTATTGTCTAAATATTTTCTTTTCTCAAGTTATATAATATAGGTTTAAACTATTTAGATCACTAAAGAAGTTTTTTTCTTCATATTTTTTAAGTGACATTTTGCCATTTAAGGTTATATAGCGAGTGAACAAGTGAAAGTCAAAATAGGTTTACATTTAACCATAATTCCTAACAATTTTAAACTTTACTTTGCATGAACTATCAATAATTTGAATGGCTCAAGGAAATGTCTGTAAATATCTATCAGAATTTACCTGTTACGGACAATTTATAAAAAGAGTTGGGTAATTATTTTATATTTTATACACATTTATACTTTATCCTTAACATATTCTGTCAATCACCATTAAAACAGTCGATCTTTTGAAATATATAATCCATTAACATCATCTTTACAATGGCAAAATGAGCACAATGGCACTTTAAATATCTCAGTTTGTTTTCTGCCAGGCAATTAACAGTATTTGTTTTCCATTTTGATGTTTTTTGTTAATATTTAGAATTCGTGTAAGTTGATTAACATACTTGGCCGATATGCAAGAGCAACGACATTCTTCTGGATGTTTTGTGAAGGACTATTCTTACATCGTCTTCTTGTTCATGCATTTCGTAATCCAAGAAACATTCGACCCTATCTTCTTATTGGATGGAGTAAGTATTTGGCTTTATCCTTCTTATATGCACTTTATTTTTATCTCCATAAAGTATCTTTAAGTAACATAGATTATCTTGACAATGCAATAGAATGGATATTTGCCAGTCATCACTTAAAATACGATTTCATCAAGAAGTTGTTGAAATGCCTTTATAAAAAAGCGCAAAAAACAAACAAACAAAAAATAAATAAATAAATAAATAAAAGAATAAAAAAAAGTTAAACTAAAGAAAAACAAGTCGAATTGACTCCTTGCAAAAAAAACGAATTCATTGATTTAAATTGGACAAACATAGCTTTATGTACTATTATGACCTTTTCAAAAAATAAAAATCGAATATGCGTCTCTTATCAAATGTTACCTTGAATAAAAAATGCTTGCCATTTTGGAAATTGGAAACAGTGAACTGCTTTTTGCTGTTAATTTATATATTTAATAACAATTAATAATAGAGATAAAAAAATTGTCCTCTTATGATATCACTGACACAATGATTTCGGATCTAACCTCATGTTTTGCACAATTAAACTTGAAATGATATTGTCACTTATTTTAAAATTACAGTAGGACCATCAGTACCTATTTTTATCTATTCCATGATGAGATGGAAGTTTGCAAACGACCTGTAAGTAAAGCTACATAATATTGATTTAAATGCAGAAAGACTCTCTGGTTTTGTCCAAATGTTTATTAAATTAAAAGTAATATTTTTTTCGAAATAATAGTATATTAATACTAATTAATTGTAAAATGTTTATTCTTTCTATCTTTTTTCGTTTGGTATGTGTTTGATTTTGTTTTTGTTGTTCTTAGAATATGTTGTTGTTTTTTTTTCGGTCAAATATGACTAATGATAGAGAATGCATGGAAAATTAATTTCAAAGATTCGATTTACAGAATGCTGATTAAATTATATAGCTATCCTCTATTATAAAGTCAGAAAGTTTTATAAACAAACTTGGAAAGAGTGTGATCCCTCGGAAGCATTACTCACAACAAAATGGCCTGAAAATTGCAAACTCGGTTTGATTGAGCCTGTACATGAGGGATATTGAAAAGTGCAACATCCTTCATGTCCCCAAGCACCGGCTTTAGTGGTACTTTTTTTGTATACTTGATGCACATATATTTGAATGCATTAAATGATGTGGAAAAAAACACTTGAATTCATTACTTTGAATGGATTATACCTATTTCATATTAACAGGTGTTGGGTTCAAAATGCAGGCGGATTTGAATGGATTCTATACACGCCAAATTTGCTAAGCATAGTGGTATGTATCAACATTTACAAAAAAATCACAATTTTAATAATTGTATTGACAGTCACGTAAAAACATGAAGCTAGTTTGAGAGTGTATCATTAATCAAAAAAGCTGTCATTTAGTTCATTATAATTGGTTTTCTTATCAATGATTGTTTTTATTGCTTAACAATTGCCATTTTAGTGATTTAATTAATCAACAAAGACGTATCATCATTTTTACGACACATCTTAAATTGAATCTTATCGTTGATATTGGTAAAACTGTATGTCATCGATTGTTATTAAATCAAAGTATAAAAAAGGTTTCTTTTATTGAGTGATAGTTATTTTTTTTCAGATCAATTTGATATTCTTGATGGGAATTCTGCGAATACTTCTTACACAACTTCACCAACATCCGAATGAACCTAGTAACTACAGGTAATGAGGGTATTTTGATCAAAAAACGAGTCTGAACACTAAATCAAGTACAAGTTAGCCTTTGACACAAACGAATTATGACTATAATAATTATTATCAACAACACAAGAACCAAGCTTACTTTAAAATTCGAACAGTCACGGTATTAAAACTATTTAAAAAAAGGATATTTTGTGTAACAAAGTGGAGCGTTATGTGTAGGTTTACTTAAAAGGATCTTACTGGAAAAGAATTGATGTTATACATATAAGCATCTGAATCTGAAAATAGATTTCTTTCTTTAAGATTTCAATAAAACTAGAAAAGCTGACAATTTGTGATTCATTGGTCATGAAGCGTATAGCTATTATCGATATTGTAAAATTAATTTTATATTTAAATAAAAAAGAGTATTTTATAACAGTTACAAAGCCGAGCTTTTGCTAATCAGAGGCACTTTTTATCATAATTATTGAAAGATAGTAAATGTTGACTTATTATTCAGGACTAGTTATAAAGTCAAAAGTATACAATGATAGGTTGCAAACAATCCACGAAATGTTTAAGTTTATATGCGATATTGTAATATATATTTTATACGTTTAAGGAGGGCGATAAAGGCAACATTTATGCTCGTTCCACTTTTTGGTTTGCAATTGTTTCTTGTTATATATCGACCAGGAAGCTCACAGTGGTTAAACATTTATGAAATAGCTTCCAAAATCATCATTGGATCACAGGTAGATTATAAATTTTAACTCGATCAATTGTGTTTTAATTTTCGAACTGTAAAACAAAAGTATGTTTCCCGGTTGTCCCTTTACCTGTTTAAAATGTGTAAAAGCCTTTAATAATCGGACGAATTTATGTTTTTCAAGATGGCCATGCTGTTTTCTTTTTTATGGCTTTTCTTTTCTTTTTGTAAGTATATTGTTCTTAAAAGCGCAATTTATATTTTCATATCAATAAAAACCAAAACCTTAAACCAAAAACAATTTATAAAATATACTACAGTTAGAAAGAAGTATGTTTACATTTGGTATTAAAAAGTTTTTGTAAAACTCGGTCTGTGGCTGATATTTTATCTCATATAACCTTTTGGAATTTCAGGGAGGCGTTATTGCTCTTGTCATATGCTATTTCAATGGTGAGGTGATAGCCTGTCTAAAAAATACGCTTCGGAAATTAGAAATTTTTAAATCAAAAAGACACTCTCTCGTTACAAACTACACTGTCGTGTCCCAAAGGTTCAGAGATAATGACACAGTTGTGAGAGAAAAGACTGAAATGTGTGAAATGGAAAATATAATGCTAACAGAAACTAAAAATAATGTAAATGGAAATATTTGACGTTTTCGTTTTCCATATACATGACATTGTATCAATCAGTATCATATATAGATGGTTTAAAGAAAAAGTTAATATCGATGCTTAAGACAGTGTTGCAAAATTCTGACCGTTTGTCATAAGGAGAAAAGAAAATAATGGACAATTAAGTGATTTGCAGTATGAGTTTTGACAAAGTCTAAAGTGTACACAATGGTGGATATCTTAATCAAAATGAAACTTATAGAAACAGTCAATCTTAATGTACATATTTGTATGTATAATGTGCATGTGTGCGTTTGTGTGTGTTTGCATGTACGAAGCATGGGACTAAAATGATTGATATACGTTGTCACATATTAAATTAGTCTGAAACTTGTTTTAATAATTGTAAAATAAGTTTTGTAATGTACGAGTATATGAATAATAAATTGATGATTGTTTTGTTTGTTTGTTTGTTTGTTTCATTTTACACCTTTTCCAACAGTATTTCAGTCATATAGGCGGGTAGTTTCCTAACCATCGTTCCTGGAGAGTTACACCAGTACTAGACTACCTTCCCCCGCGCTAAACTACCAAAGCATCTCCCGGGAATCGAACCCACGCCAGAGAGGTAACTAGATTAGAAGTCATCGACTCTAACCCCTCGACCACGGAGGCGGTAAATTGATGATTGTAAAGGAGTTAACATGTAGATTTTATTTGCATAATGTGCTATTTTACCAAGAATGATGAAACAACTGTTTGGAAATACAACGGAACCCCGATGAATTTTTTTTCAAATATTTTGAAACTTTATTTTCACTAGATTTAAATAGGAAAAAAATGAAAATGTTCTTACCTTGATTCAAAGGACGACATAGTTTGATATTAAAGTTGAAGGCAAATAATGGTCACCTTGCACATAACAACACATTCTTTTACAAAACACTAAAGCAATTTAATTTCATGAATTGGCTACATTGCATTAAAACGAATCTGTTTAAACTGCACATAAATCGTGACAGACAATTGTTTTGGTAGTGTTTAAATTATTTTTCTTCAAAATGACCTAATTAAAAACTTGAAAGAAAACAACTTCTATTTTTTACTTCTCAAACTTTAAAAGATGAATATACTATATTTGAAAACAATTTGGTATTGGTGTTATAATTATTATCTATGACTATAAAACCAAAATGACCTTCAATCTTATGATTTTTGGTTTGGTCTTACAATATAACTGCCATTAGTTTTAGAAATATATCAGATATATCTTTTATGAGTTGTGTCATCATACTATGTCCCTCCATAATTTTTCTATAATCATAGATCCGGGTTTTTAAGATTAAAAATGCCGACATTTTAAAAATCGTTTAGCAAATGTACTACGACAGACTTGAATATTATCCATCCCAATTACGTCTATAATAAACTTTTATTTCACGAAGGCAGTAATTTAGTTTCAACATTCATTCAATTTGCTACTGTGTAACAATATTTGTTTCCAATATTTCAATCGATAGGATGCAGTTTATTTTTCTTTTCAATATATCAAAATGTCTCGTTATTTTATTTCTATAAAAAGAGATCTGAATGATTAACATGTTACCCGAGATGATAAGGGATTATAATGATATTCGCGTAGATAACGTCACGTTTCACGGCCAGTAACTATCGTAAAGAGTTAGTATTAAGATATAGAACGATTTGGCAAATGGGAAAGTACTAATAATGTTTTAAGTGTTAAAATATTCTTATAAGTATTTTCAACGTAAAAACATGAAAAGTAAGAAAAAACTAAACTTGAAAGTGGTTAGTTTATATTTTCAAGAATTTGTAAGGAATATGCTGTTTCAATCTAAAATATTTCCATTAAATTAAAAGTACTTCTAATTGAAAAAAAACATTTTTTTTTCGTTATTGCGGATATATTTGTAAAATATATATATTATTTTTAAGGATATATATCAACAGATTATCCACCTTGAAATTAACAAAACCCTAAATCTTCATCATCGGAAAGAATACGTTTTCAAGCTTACTGTGTTACTTAATGTAGAACCTTATCTTAAGTTTCAAAACAATTACATGAAGCAGCCACGTACAACCTATGCGATTGCAATAAACTGACTACGAGGGCTGTTCGAAAAGAATTGCTTATTGTCGTCTATCTCGTGATCCACGTCGGACATGTTAGAATACTATTTGCCACGTGATAATGCACGAAAGGTAAGAATATCGCTATCAACGGTTCACTTTATTTTGAAGAAGCATTTGAAAGTGAGGGAGATTTCTGCTAGATGGGTGCAATATCTGTTGACCGATGAGCAAAGGAGGCAACGGGTTAAGGTGGCCAAAAAGCTGCTTCAAATGTTTCAAAAATGTGACAAAAACAGTTTGCCAATGTCGTCACAGGTGATGAAACGTGAGTCCATTATTTTGAGCCCATCAGAAAAGTCAGCACCAAAATCTGGGCCACTAAACACAACTAATAAAAGTGCCGGTGAAAAAGGGCAAAAGTATCACTGGGAAGTACTACAAAGACGTAGTACTTAAGAAACTGAAAAATTGTTATAAGAAACGACGCCCTGTCACTGGTTTTAAGCATATCCGTCTTCTACATGACAATGCCCCCGCTCATACCTCCGCAATAGCTTCGGCGTTTTTGAAACAAAAGTAACTGTTTTGCCTAACCCCCGTATTCTCCAGACCTTGGCCAATGTGATTTCTGTTTGTTTCCGAAATTTAAATCCTTCCTTGCTGGGCGGAAATACAAGTCCCGACAGGCACTTGGATCTGCAATTCATCAGTACCTTATTACTGTGCCCAAATCAGCGTACCGTGACGCCTTCAAGAAGTTGATACATCGGCTGAAACTTTGCATTTCTAGCCACGGGAAGTACTTCCAGGGCATGAAATGAACACTTTTGAGGTAACTTGAAATTTGAAGTCTTCATATAGAAATAAGCAAAACATTTCGAACATCCCTCGTATTTACTTTCAATGACCAATCATTCACATCATCCTGTAATATGAAGCAAAGGTAATATTTTCTTAATGTAATTTTTTCCAAGACATATAAAATAAAATGGTTCATGGTTACACTCGCTTTGGTCCTTAAATACATTTATTGAGGAAAACATCTGATAAAAACTAACGAGTCCAATATAATTGCACCACTTTATGTCATCTATTGAAAATAATTGGAACTAAATTGATAACTATGTCCACTTATTTCTATGAATACAATGGTTGTGTCGTAACAAATATTGTTACAAGTATTTTCGAGCTGTGAGTGTGTCGACAAAAAATAATGATATAAGAAAATAATCATTAAGGGCGATCAAAAACGAATTATTCTAGGGATACTTTTGCACTGACTTTTTATTTTGTGAAAAGTATTGCTGATGTGCGATATTAGAAATTGAGTTGCACCAATAAACGCTGTATAAAGTAATGAAAGAAGACCAAGGCGGGCTAAATTATAAATTCTTCCGTTTTATAAACTAAATAAAATAGAACATTTAAAAGAGGTTCAGGAGTTATGAAGCAAGATGAAGCATAGACACGCCGTGGCAAGACATAATTTAAATACCAGCAACACATCCTAGTGGGTATAAATACTGGAATTAGTAGTATCCAAATAGAACTTGGCCAAAGAGAAGGAACTAAAAAACCTACATAAAACAACACTTATATAATATTCCACGATCTTCAAGGATAAAAAAAAGACTTATCTGATTCAAAGAAAGGGTTATTTATCTGAATAAAAGGAAGGGTCGGCATTTAACGGCCTGCAAACAGGGTAAACAGGACTGATCTCACAATAAATTATAGAAAAACGGAATTTCTTAATCACGTTCAAAAGGACAATATCGAAAATGCTGTAGGTTCGGTTCATGGACGGCAGTGCATACTAATCTTAACGCCCTCTAAACAGGACTAATCATTTAAACATTAAAAATTAAAAAAAAAAAAATTAAAAATATCCGCAGATGCATTCATACACCGATGATCTTGAAAAAAGAAAGGAAAGCAGTTGAAAGGTAATCAAGAATTATAAAGCCTGAATATCAACAAACATTGCTGAATAGGTTTCTCGTGCATTCATCCCACATGTCTATATAGATAACATTATTCTTCTCTTTACACTATTGGTAATATGATTTGTTGCAATAACAAACACATTATGAAATTTATACGATGATTCGACATTATATGACTATACTTTATATAAATAGATACCAAAAATGTTTCGAGGGTATGAGCATAAAAAAACATTGCAGAGGGTAAATTTATCAACATAATTTTGGACAGGTAGACAATTTAAAACTATCAATATGTGACCTATGATATGACATTGAATTGTAGGTAAATGTAGTATTTATATATGAACGTGTATAAAACTATTTAAAATAATGCATTTATAAATCAGTTATGCCTTGTATCATCAATTAGCCAACAATCAACTTTGATATACTACATGAATACATTGACATTATAAATGTGATAAAATGTTTTTCATTAACAACGGGCTTTCTGGTACAATTGTTTTATTTATGTTTACCGTCTGAAGGGGCCCCTATTTGATGAAATAGCAACCTTTTATTTTTTACATGTTTTTTTCAGAGAAATTTGGGTTATTTTATAATGAAAACGTTTGGGAGGGGTTTTTGGGTTTGTCTTTCAAAATTTTAAACAAAAAAAAATTCAGACATCAATGCTGTTGTCGTTTTATGTTTCGACAATGCTTGCAATCCATTGACAACGGCCACGTAGTCTGCTAACATAATAGAATAGATATGATATGATCCAAGTTAATATAATATATTCTAGTAAGCAATCATTGCTCATAGACTTACCAATAAGTCAATATGGTAATTTAATCAGAAAGCGATCTTGTGAAGGCAGCTTGTCCCAATAAATCATTTAGTATTGGTGCATTTAATCATCCGCAGACGGTAAGTAAATACAAAATCAATGATCATGGTACCTGGTATTTCTGAAGAAACAAAATACATTCGTAACTAACAGATGAAGACAAGGATCGAATCTTGATTAATTCGGAAGTTTTGATACGATGATAACATTCATTTATTTGATAACCAAGTTTTTGTTATAATTTACAATACTATTGTCAAGGTAATCACTTAAAATCAGTCATTTATTCTTGAAAAGCAATTGAAATAACAATAAGGTTAAATAAATTTTAATAAAAAGATATTTGACGTGTTTTTCTCAATTATCTCTAAATATACGGAAACCTACCAAATATTGTTTTTATTAACACATTAATATGTAAGAGACAGTAAAAGAAACAAAATGCAAATAATTTTAAGGAGTATGATTTAAATGAACCTTGTTGATGTTTAAACAAAGGAAATGACCTGACATTTCTACTGACTTTTATTTTACATGGGTTAAACAAACTAAAACCTTGTG